GACAATGGAAGGGAAGTGACTGAAGCATGGCCATCTTCCTGAGGGATAATTTCTCACTCTCTCTCTCTCTCTCTCTCTCTCTCTCCTTTCTTTCTTTCTCTTTCTCTGTCTTTCCAGCAAGTGCATGCACTCTATAGCAAAAATGTCTCTTAAAAAAAAGAATAGAATAGAATAATAGAATAAGGGTCTTTAAAATGCCGAACAGGCATTCTAAGCAAAGAAAATAATAGGAAAACAGTAAAGTAGTCGATGATTTTCTGGAATCAAAGAAGTATTTGAGTCTTAGAATAAGTTAAAATATCCGTGTTAAAGCACATAATAGAGAAACTGCAGAATACCTTAAAAGGACAAAATCTTAAAAGATTATATAAAGAAAAAGAATCAACAAATGGCAACAATTATACAATAGATATCTTTTTGACAACAGTATATGAGAGAATACAATGGCATTTCTTAAATTTCTGGAAGGAGCGTAAGTGAACCTTAATATACCCAGCTAAACTATCATAAACAGCATCTGCCCCCACACAAACACCCCCAAAAATATACATATGTCAAAGATTAATATACATTTTCTCCTCCACAACAAATAGTATCCTTTTGACTTCATTTCTCACTTCCTTTCTCATTATTTCTGCAACACATAGCCTACCAAGTAAAGAAATCTCTCTCTCTCTTAAATACCTTAAATGTGTTTGCCTTACTATCATTTTCTTGAGCACCCCTAGGTAATTACCAATCCTGTATGATTATATACTTCCTGATTTTTTTATTCCTGTGTCCAGAATGTTAGAATAAATAGAAAGAAAGAAACAAAGGGAGAGAGAGGGGGAGAGAAATCAGCTAACTGATTTAGATAGCTAAATAATACACAAGTAAGGGCTTCAGTCTGCTTAACATTGATTTTTACTTACACTTAATCATCTCCACTTTACATTCCTCATGTTACTTATTATATCCTTCTTCTATCTCAAGCCCTTTATTTTTATTTTTTTATGTCAGCAAAATACCCATTTCTTCTCAGAAGTAAAAAACAAACAAAAAGAAAAATTTCAACTTTCCTATTTCCATGAGGTCAAAATCAAATGAATGCAATTGCCAGTGTGTCTTTGTTATTGAAACAATTAAAATAGCTTTTCTCCCTTAGTAGAAGTGTTCAGAATTTCATAGTTGTTCTATACCATCAAATCATTACATAAAAGTAACTATAGCAATAAAACTGTACTTTAATTTAAAAACAGAGTTTTCACAAATATTCTTACTGTTGTCGAACAGTTGTATTATCTGTAATCAATAATCAGGGAGTTATTTGTCTAAAGTCACACAATTGTTTATGTGCAGAACTGAGGCTACAATCTATGTCCTCCATTTCCAAATACAGTCCTTTGTCGACAACCTTTGTAGTTTAAGATATTATGGTTTTTAACCCAACACTTTTAGAACAGAATAACCCTTCAGGTAGTGTGTCTAAAGATCCCTGTAAAGATATCTTATTAGACAAATATTATCTTACTATACTAACCATTTCTCTTAATAAAATAATCTGATGTGAAGATACAGGTAAAAATAAAAAAGAAAAAAGGGTTTTTTTTTAAAAAAAGAAAAAAAAACTCTTTTTAAATAAAAGTACAGTAATATTACTATGGTTATTTGTATGTAATGATGGTGATGGTATAGAGCAAATGTGAAATTATGAATACTTCTACTAAGGAATTAAACTATTTTAATTGTCTCAAGAACAAGATACAGGTAAAGAGCTATCAGCTATAGTGTATATTTGACTCCTCATTTCACCTCAGTGGAATCTGTTCTCCTATTCAATATTGCTTGTTATCTTTGATGCCTACAGCTATGCTTGCTCATTTACAAGAAAGCATCTTCAGGTCTACTAGTAAAATGCAGAAACTCTTTGCTCTCAACTTCAGTCATCATACTGTATTTGACCCAGCTAGCAAGAATACTTAATGTTGATACACTCCAAGCAAATATACCATTTTTATGATCTCCCACTGTAAATAAAAAGAAAATTAAAACTCTTCAGGCTAGATTCCATCCCACTGATTCTTGATGCCCACTGAATTCAATGGGAGCTATATATGCATCTGTAAAAAATTTAGCCCTTTTAATTTAAAAGGAATAGTGAGAATTGTTTAAAGTTTATGTGGCTCATAAAATATTGTGATAGATAACTGACAAATTTGAGTTAGGAACAAAACAAAACACTGAATTATGAAATATAGGGTTGCACTGAGAGAAAAAGATACAGCTTTCAAATTTTATACAGACCTGGTTACAAATCAGATATGAAAACCTCTTCAAAAAAAAAAAAACATAGATATGAAATTTTCAGCTCTGTATCTTTAAGACACAATCATTATGAGTATATAGCTATGTAATTAGTATGTTTTATGTCACAGGCAGAGCTTATACACTTCAACAACATCCAGTAAGTTAATATTATTAGTATCATTATTTAGAGGATGAAGCTGAGGCTTAGAAAGGTTATGCCAATCAAAGTAACACAGAACATGGTAGAGTTAGAATTCAGAGGCAACCCATCAGCCCCAATGCCTGAAGTCTTAACCCAGAGTTTAAAAACTGGTGGCCCAGGTGCCAAACCCAACCTACAGCATATTTCATGATTCTTGAATAGTGTTTTCAAGATTAAAACATTTCACTGAGAGTCTGGGTTTTTGGTTCCTGAAAAACTGGGAACTCAAAACAATAGCAAGCAGACATTTGAATGTGGTAGTGGTTAGCTAGAGCTGAGCAGCAGCTGCCCCTTTAGACAAAGCCTGGGCTCACCAGTTTCCAAAATTTTACCTTGTACTATGCCCACCTGATTGTTCACTGACATCGCCTTTCTGGCTCCTTCAAGCATCACTGGCTGTTACGCTGTACAATCCCACCAAACAAGGTATATCATCTAGCTGAGCCTCATTGAAATGGACTGCTACAATCAATATATTTAACAATGTATGCAAAGCACTGGGAAAAATACTAAATAGTTATTAAATTGTAACTCTTATTTTTATTAATAAAAGAATAACAACTAAGTCCATTTTTAATAAAGGAGTCAACCTTAGATACCATGATTACTATTTATACAACAGGTACCAAGAAATTTAAGTTGGAAATGTTCTGATCTTTGAAACACTTTCTAAACTTAACTGGCTACCAAAACAAAACAAAAATGAACAAGCAAAAATAATAAGCAAACAAAAAAACCTGCACATTGATTACTTCTAGGTGAAAAAGCACCTCGTATAGGAAGTACCCCTAAAGAGAGGCAGAAATAAAAAACAACTGATTATAGACACTTGACTATGGAAGTACAGAGAGGACATATTACTTACATATTTGTTTATAAATAAGATTTTCCCAAAAAGTATGTACACAAAAGGCTTTCGGGCAAAAATTAATAGTTAATAAATCAAGGTGAACAGGAATTAAGAGTAGAAAAAAGTAAAAGTAGGTAAAGATAGGTATTATCTACCTCCTTACAGAGAAGTCCTGCAATTTTGGCTCAGGATGCTCTAAGAATGAAAGCTAATGAGGGAACACAATGCATTATAAGATTCACAATGCTCATAAAATTCAAAATTCACCAAGAACTCAGGAGGCAGCATATCTTACTGATACTAATATCTGAGTGAAATATGTTCTCACAATTATATTTTTAATAAGAACAAAGAAGAGTTTGAAGAGTTTTCTTGATGGTTTCTCACATAACTCTAGATTTCTGTCAAGTTGGCAAACTCCTGTGAAGAACCAGACAGTAAATATTTTTGTTTTCATAGGTCATACAGTTACTCCAGCAAGAACACAACTCTACCATTATAATGCGAAAACAGTCATTTAAAAAATAGTGGACAAATGACATAATTCTGTTCCAATAAACCTTATTCAGGAAAACAAGAAGCAGAATAACTTGGTCCATAACACTCTAGTTTATTGGTCCATGATCTATGTTGTCAATGAAGAGCAAAATTATCAGTTCAAAAAGATACTTTCTGATAGTTGTACAAGAAGGATTCAAAACATGTGTATTAAATGGAATTAGAGTTTGAGTTTACTTTGATGTAAAAAATTTTAGTAATCTATGCATAGTTTTTGCATAATATATATTTTCCACGACCTTAAGAAAACCTTTCATATTACTAATAACTAAGGGGTATTTGTCAAATTAATGACTGTTTTACACAGTTGACCTCCTCATGGCTTGGAGCAGAGTGTAAGTGGATCAAAATTCCTACAAGCTTTAAATAGTGGTAGTTTTTCCATTATGGAGCTAGGCTGCTTGCTACCTATAACTTTGTGAGAAGTAATGGCTCAGGTTGAGGAGCTCCTGATGCAAGTGGCCATGCAGAGGAGTACTGGGCAGAATCTGTGCCCTGCTGACATTGGAGGTCCCCAAGGCTCAAAACAACAGCAATAAAATAATGCAGCTTCAGAAAATACCTGAGATATACTAAAATATGTCCTAGAATAGCAAAGGGTCACTGGAAAGCGACTCATGCTTTTCCAGAACATATTCCAAAAAGTTTCGTGGAAATCAGAGACTTTAAGCAGTAAGGATTTTTATTGTTATTGTATAGTTTTCTCCATAAGCATGCTAAAAATGTGCCCTATCTTTGTTATCAGTCCCCCTTATGAAGACTCAAGAGTTCAGTAATTTTAGAATGCAATAAAAGCCCATCTCAATCCAAAGAAATCATCTTCTCTAGTCCTTTTGGCAAATAAAGATTCGAGAAATCCTATATGTATATAACAGTGCCAATGCCAGGCACTCCAATACCAGGCACAAAAAATGTGCTGAATTTGATCTGTACTCTTCATAGAGAAGCAAAATTAATTTCATTTCAACATAATTACTGATGTGTTCAAAGAATGTAGTAATTAATTGAGTTTGGAGAGGTCAGAGAAGGTTCCAATTAGGAGGCTACATCTGCACTTCATCTCCATGGACTTAGACACACAAGTAGGCAGAGATCGCAGGCATGAATGAGGGACAACAGGACACACCACTGCAGAAGAAACAGCGTGGACAAAGGTATGTGGCCTGGGAGCATGGGAGGTCATAGGATGGAAGACAGTGCACTTTTTTTGCTGTACGTGTAATACAAAGAAGGCAGCAAAGGAACTGGAGTTGCAGAGATGAGAAGGACACAATTAGTTAAAATAAATTTTGGGAGAGAATAAGTCCAACAGTGGGAGCCTCCATCCATTGACTGAGATTCTATGGCAAACTCATCCCCAGGGGAAAATATCAGAGAGTGATCAAGTGCCTGCCCTTGTTTGGGCCCCTGACCAGAGGCACAGAGAGAATGCATCAGCAGCAGGAGTCTGATATTACTTTGTAGCACCCACTGCAGCAGTGGCACCACTCTAAAAAGGATAAAGTCTCCTGGATCACATGAAAAGATGCCCTACAAGGTACAGGGGAGCATGTCAATGTTCCCCTGGCACTAAAGATCTTAGACACAGTGTCTTTCAAGAAGTCATTCAGGTGGAGGTCCTCAGGCTCCCTGTCCTCCTGAACTCACACCAGGTTTTGGAGTGAATTGCAGCAAATTGTACTTTTTTGCCCAGAATAAAAAAGAAGGGAGGTGGGGGGAGGGGGTCTCCCTTTGCTTTCCTCACTTCCCTACCAGGTTCTCGATTCATTAGGAATCCATTTCAGTTGCTGGAGGTCCCCCGGAGCAGACTACCATGGCTTTTGCTTGGAGCCTCTACTGGAACACAAGCAGCCCGCAGCCCCACTCTGTACTCAGCTTTTATTCACGCTAGGAAGGCCTCTCGCCTTTGGAAAATTCACACTGCTGCCTGATCCAAATGAGAAGAGCAGCTTTTTAAATAATGCTCAGACTTTCAGACAATAATCACTCTAATACTTGAAAACATAATGCTCCTGTTTTGTTGTGATCTCTTCATTGGTTCCTAGACCTCAGACTCCCCAGGGAATGTCACAAATTCACATGCTGTCTCTGAAAAACAGATCCAGCATTTGCAGCTCCGATTTACCTAAAAAAGGGTGTTAGTAAAAAAAGAAAAACAACACATTTGTGGAGCTAGACAGCTCCCTGTCAGTGACACATATGAGAAAGTCTAAATTGTAAGTTAGTCTAAGAAAAACAGTGAACATTTTATATTAACAACCTGCCTCCTTCCAGGTTTCTTTTATCCCCTCTCAGGTTGCTTTAGAATAATTATCACCTGTTCCTTTTCTTTAAAATAGGATTTGTCAACAAGTAAAGTAACCGTAAAGTGATGGTGAGTTGTACAGTGGGAAAAGCCAAGAGACCAGGGAGCAGACAGAGCTAGATTTGAAACCAGCTACTAGTTTGGTGACCTGAATGAGTCCTCAAGACTCACTTTCCTATAGTCATTAAGAGCTCGTGAGATTGGGGAGATCAGACTAGATAATGTGTCACTTTAGCTCCTCCAAGACATAAACATCATGAAAGTTTATTAGGAGTGCCAGGTGGTGGCACAGTGGGGGAAATATGCAATCTGTGATGCTCACCCAGAGTTCCAAGTTCCCATCTAGAGACCACTCTGAGTATACCAGGTTCATGCATGCCCCTGATCTGTGGCTGACTGGAGCTGGGAGGTGGACTGTGGTGTCAGGACCCTGTTGGGATGCTATATATTTGTCTCTCTGTTTGTCTCTCTCTATCTCTATCTCTTTCATTCATGAAGCAAAGAAATAAACTTTTTTTCATAAGAAGAAAATTTATTAGTGAAAATACCTGTGAGGTAAAATGAGGCTGGAATAGATGGAGGCTGGAAGAGAAGTTAGAAAATGATACAGAATGGCCCCTCTAAAGAAGAGAGGAGTAGAGAGGTTGGGGAGTCTTTTTTTTTTAAGTTTACTCATTTATTTCTTCCATCAGAGGAAGAGACAGAGTAAGAGAAGCACGGAGAGAGAGATGCCTCTAACAGGGTCTTCATGCCATGATCCATTCCTAGTCTTAGTTAGCTAGGGCCATGGGCATATGTGCTGGGCATGAGCAGGGACACTTGAGGATGTGAAATTGAGACATGAGTGAAAAAGGTTTTATTGTAGTTCTAAGAAACATCAACAAGGCCAGTGGGGAGTACTCAAGCTTAAGTCAATTATAAGAGGATGTTCCATCTCCCAGAAACAGATCTCCCTTAGAATCCCTGCCATGCCATCATTGGAAGATTGAAAAGTGGATCCTTACAGCTCCAGTGATGGATTTTAGAGTACAACAGCCCAGGATAGACAGTTATGATCCCTGATGAAGGAGATCTGAAAGCCACCACCAATAGCTTATGGAAAGCATTTGGTACAGTAATTGGCAAATCAAAGTCATTAAATCAATGAACTTCTTCATCTTAGAGGTCAGAGGTATGGCTGATATGCTGAATGATGAAGACAGTCTTCCTGGTTTAAGTCAACTTTAACATATAAACAAGTTGACTTTCAATTAGTGGAATGTGGTGTACAAATCGGTAATATTTCATTTAAAATTTAGAAAAATGTTATTCTTCATAAACTTTGAAGAGAGAAAAAGAGGAAAGGTTAGCACTCTTCTAGTAAACCCAGTTTGTCCATCCCCATTCACTATCAAGGACAGAGTTTGAGAATAATAATATCATCCCAGAATTTATAGGTCAGGAGACCAAATTTTTCCAGCCAGTTTACGTAAGACTACATCATGACCTATACAGTTTCAAGCAATAAATTTCAACTATGTTAGAATAGGTGCTTAATAAATTAAACCTAGGAATATCACTCCTAGCCTCTTAACCATAGGAAAATATACAGAAACTGTGTTCTTACATGCACTGTAAATGTCACACAACTTATTTTTAAAAGGTTAAGACAGTAACTGTCTATAATAATCAGTGCTGTTATTATCTGCTTGTATATATGATTAAGTATTTGATTATAGGCTTATGTCTAGTTGAAAATAGTAAGCATAAAATCAATGATAAATAAAACTCATAAATCTAAGGAAGGTAAGATGGTAGCACAGTGTTATTAAGCACTCTGTGAGACAATCCCACATAGGAAGGTTTCTGGTTCAAGTCCAGAGACCTCCCTAAGTATAAGGAGCACATACATACCCATTATCCAGTGCTGGCTGAATGCAGGGAGGTAGACTGTAGCATCAAAACCCTGTTTGGGGTATTGTCTCACTCTCTCTCCATCATGGAAGAAATAAATAACCAAACTTTTAAAATACATATATTTTAAAAGAGCTAGGAATAGGGTTGTTCTCTGTCATAGATTTAGTCCCATAAAGCACATGTATTAAGTTGTATATGTAAAATCAAAGGTAAATGCTACCAAATATTCACTTCCAGTTGCTCCATAGCATCTTCTGGATCAAAGCACTGCTAATCTTTACAAACCAGGAGCAGAGAGTCAGTATTAGATATTTTTTCTTCATCTTCTTTAATATTTTCTTAGTTTAGCTCCTACTTTGATTTTGCATGCCTGAGTCCAAGTATACACTCTTTTTCAACCAAATTGACTTATTTCTTCCCCTAGGAAACAGGGCCTTCTCTGAAATGTATGGATCCTCTCCTGCCAAGAAGAGAAAAGTCTTCCTATCTTAATCAGGTCAGGGCCCCTCCTTGCTAGGCCCAGAGGTTGCTCAGCAGTAGCCAGAACAGAAAATGATTCCTGCTCTGCAACTGTCTGTTACCATGGAGACATGCTAATTAGCAGATGATGAGAAAGCAGAGGAGTTCAGGGTCTATAAAACCATGAGAAAGAAAGGAGAGTAAGTGGAAAAATATGAAGAGAAATGAGAAGATCTTGTGAAATCAATTGTAGATAAAGAAGTCCTAGAATAATAGGATTATAGTAAAGAAGTGGAAGAAGGTAGTGAGGAGAGAATATCAATGACAAAGACTCATAGATTAAAAGTTTCATAAAATGAAGGGAGGAGACTAGTTTAAGAGAAGAAATGGAAAACTACAATTGCACCAAGTACAAACTCATGAGATCACAGAACGCTTAAGACCTGAAATTAAAAAATATTAAAGGACAGGATTATCTTTTGCTAAGGGAAGGAAATGTGACATTTGAGGCTATGAAAATAGACTATAAATCTCTGCAGACATTTCTCTGCTAGAACTTGAACTCACACTTGCTAACCCATCATAGTTTGCTGGGTGGAGTGTCAATGTGCCAATGTGAGAAGTTCCTGTCCAATTATCTGAGCCAAATCCGCTCTTGTATTTCTGTATCCAGACCTCCAAAGAACAACAACAGCACAGAAAAGGAATGTAGATAGCAATTTCAGGAACTATATTTATTTATTGAAGAGGTTTTTGCTATAGGGTGTGTGCACTCGCCAGAAAGACAGAGACAGAGAGACAGAAAGCAAGAAATCATTCCCCAGGGGGGATGCCCATGCCACAATCCCTTCTCCGTTTTCATCTTGGGATCTTGGGCACACACACACACACGCCCCATGTGAGTTTAAGTCACTGGGTCTGGGACTCGAACTGTGGTCGACTACTTGGGAGTCCAGCAACATAGCCATTACACCAACTGCTGGTCCCAAAGAACTATATTTTAAAAAGATAATACAGAGGCATATAGTGCCATACTTAAGGGTATGTAGGAGCTTACATACCCAAGTATTTGGAAAATTTGACTACATAATACCATTTATCTTCTAAAGAGATGTCATATTATATTAATGTAAATATTTTCTATTTTGTTCATTTTAGTATACATTACATGCTTATTAGACATTAATATTATATTATACTTAAATTGTTAACACATTTTGCAAGAGATAATTTATGCAAATATAAAGATATTGTTGACATATTAATAGGAAGACTAAGTGAGCCGCTAGTAAAGGTCAAGTTGTTCTATGCTCAGAATCAGCTCAAGCGTAAAAAGAACTTACCCAGTGTATACTTTGAGGAGAGTTATGGAGTTAGCCAAGACTAATGTGCAAAGATTTCATCTGCCCAGGCAGATAAATGGATTCTCAGCATTCAGACCTTGAAATCCTCCCTCCAACCTTGGCTTTCCCTCCTGTCATCTACTTAGACTGTTTCCTACCTTACCAATTCCCTCTCATTCTTCAAACGTAAATCAAATACCATCTTCTCAGTAGAGACTTCCCTAGACCTTCACAAATAATTAGCAGTGCCCTTCTTAATGCTCTTGAAGTGCTTTGTATTCACTGCATTTATAGAGCTCAATTTCTAATGTTTTGGCTATCTGTTTGAATAACCCTCTATGCTATCTTATGAGCTCCTCAATGATAGATATTATATTTTATGCACAGTTATATTTCCCATATCCTCAGAACAAGCATAGTATTTACAAAATGGAAGTATTTGTTAAATATGTACAGAATAAATGTCTATAGTAATTTATATCCAATAATTTATATTGTGATGTAATTTTTTTGAAGAGGTTTTTGCTATAGGACACATGCGCTTGCCAGAAAAAGAAAGACAGAGACAGAAAGCGAAAAATCACCCCCCAGCAGGGATAGCCATGCTGCAATCTCTTCTCCTCCATTCTCCTTGAGATCTTGGGCAGGCACGCACATGTGCCCAGTGTGAGTTTAAGCCACTGGGTCCGGAACTCGAACCATGGTTAACTACATGGGAGTCCAGCAGCATAGCCATTATGCCAACTGCTGGTTCCTTGTGATATAAATTTTACAAAGGGCTTTTATGCTACTAGAATATAAGGTCTTCATGTGCCCATGTCCTTTTTTACTTACCTCTGATTTCAGGGTATTAGCTCAACAGGTGCTGAATTTAAAATGGCCAACTTAATCATAGAGACACATGTCTGGAGTTGAATATTGTATCTCAGAATTTAATAGGGAAGATTGGACCACAACAGAAGGTAGATTAAGTACATGAGACTCAACTGGTGAAATAGAATCTTATGACTTTTGACTAAAACATTACTGATTTTCTTCTAGGCTTTGTTTTCCAGTTTTAAGGATTTTTGTCCTATCTTGAGCTGCTGGTAGGTTCATGTATGTACTATTTGAACAGAATCCTAACCTGTTTCCTGGCTTTAAGTTTTAAGTAAAGTTTCTTAGCATTTCTTTGATTTATTAGAGCTAAAACTCCTTTTCTTGAAATCAAAAAAGTATGTTAAAAATACCTATTTAATGACTGTAGTAAGCTTCATAGCATCAGCTAGATGCTACCTTATAATATATTCATTCTACTCAGTTTCACGCCTAAAGTAAGACATTTATTCACTGATATGTACATACCAGCTAAACTTACTATTGAAAGTAGTTAGATTACTTCAGAAATTTTGTAAATCAATAAAATGGGTGGGAGGGAAAGGAATGGAAAAAACTATAGACACCTAAGATAGTGTGGGAGTAAGGTGGGAAATGGGGTAAAATATATATGTACATGTATATATATTAAACTAGAAACAGAAAATTAATTATGATAACATGTATGATTAAGCCATTATACAGTATATTTTGGATGGGAAATCACATTTTGTATGCCGTGACAATTCTCAAGGAATGAATGTAAATTAATTAACTAATTTAAAATGTTTCAGAAGAAAATTACATTGCCCTGGTAACTAGATTCTAGCTTTGTCTTTAGTTTTAGTTTAAGGTATTTGTGAATCAATAAATGTGAAAAAAGTTTTTTAAAAATCAATAATAATAAAATTAAATATAAATAAATAAATAAATAAATAAATAAAATTTGTTAAATAAATACCTAAAGGGGACCAGAAGATGGCATAATGATTATGCTGCTGGATTCCCATGTGATCGACCCCAGTTTGTCCAGGACTTGGAGACTTGAAACTCACATCAGGTGTGTGTGCATGCCCAAATCCCAAGAGGAGACAAGGAGAAGGAGAAGGGATTGCGGGGTGGCCATCTCCCTGGGGGATGATTTTTCACTTTCTATCTTTCTGTCTCTGTCTCTCTGGCAAGGGCACACACCCTATAGCAAAAAATCTCTCTCTTTAAAAAATAATAAATAAATAAATAGCCAGATCCAGAATTATTCAGGGACAGTGCCTTCCTTTTAAAATCAATAAATCCTCATAGAAGGGTAAGACCTAAAAATGTTTCTCCCCTGGCAGTGGAGATCAAACTCTGACGATATATGCATATTAGAAACTAAACTTTCCTTGTAAGCAAATTTTACCTAAAACCGACAAATGTCCAACATGAATCTTCTAGAAGTTATAAGAAGTTCTCAAAACAACCTAAGATGCAGTCAGCTGGATGGGCTCATAGGTAGTCCAGATTCCAGGTTCTAACTCTAGGGGGAATCCACTTCAGGACAGTGCCAGGTTAAGTGGAGCCCACCTGATTGGTTGACAAAGAAGCAAGAACAGAGACCTTCTCCAACCTGTTGACTATTTTTCATCACTCTGCTTTCTCTAAAATCTTTTTATCATGGCATTATGTCACCTTGTCAATAAATATTACTTTGAAAATGTGTTTTGAAAAACACCATTTTGAGAGGAGGAATACCACATGCTCTGAGGAAATTGACTGCTCTTTGGACTTTACTCTGTCATACTTCTGAGTTAACTAAATGTGTTAAGAAATATTTGGATTTATAGAAATAATATACATAAACCCAGATCACTCCCTATCTCCAAAATACCTTCCCCATTAGCCCTGCAAAGTATCTGAAATTCCCACAATAATAATCTCTGTAAGTGAAAAATTAGATGGCTCAACATCTTTAAAAAGTTATGTTAGTTCCCATCATCTAAGAACACTGAGTATGGGACACATGACAGATCTATTTGAATGAAGCTGAGAGAAATAAATGGAATATAGGACCCTGGGAAGGAGTGGAAGAGTCCAAGAAACCAGCAAACAGCTTGAGAATGTTAAGTAATTGAAGAGCACAAGATCTGGGCAGATGAAAGGAAGGAAGCCAAGAAAGGAAGATTGAAAGAGCTATATAAAAATTCACTTATCACAGAGTTTTGACACAAGACAACTATGGTGAAAGTCAAAACTAGGTCATCTTGCTCTGGGCCATTACACACTAAAACATGGCATAGCCCTTTGAATAAGCGTTGCAATGGCATACATTGGACCATTTCCCATAATAATAGGCCTACTGAGGTAATAATCCTAGGAACCCTCATAAAGGAAATTCAAATTAGTCTTCCTATAGCATTTTGAATTTTTTAAAGAGAGATTTTTGCTATAGGAAATGTGTGTTCACTAGAGAGACAGAGAGACAGAAAACGAGAAATCACCCCCCAGAGGGGATGGTCACACCGCAGTCCCTTCTCCTCCATTCTCCTCTCAGAGTCTTAGGCATACATAAACATGTGCCCAGCGTGAGTTTGAAGCCACCAGGTCTGAGACTTGATCTGCAGTTGATTATGTGGGAGTCCACTGATATAGCCATTATATCATCTGCTAGTCCCTAGAATTTTTAATTTAAAAATATTTAGACACTTCCAAAAATTCATTCCCATCCATTTAGTTAGTTTTGTATCTAAAAGTTCTTGACTAATTTTGGCAAGACATTTGGGGAACATATTTGGTCACAAATGTACTCTCCCAAATAAGAAAACATAAGCAGGTCATAGTAAACCCGTTATGTCAAAGCATA